GTTTCACACAATTTTATTTGTATTCTTTTTCTGTAGATTTATAAAATTAATATTTTTATCTGTAAGAGAGACAAATAAGAACAATTAAGGTTGTCCATTTGAAAATGATATGTCCTTTTTAATAATGTATATATGTCTATGGAGACAAATATAAATATAGAAACTAATATATTTATTTTATGTAAAAACAAATCCCATATTATATAAAACGAATTTCAATGTATTAAAATATATGTACACATGCATCAACTTATAGAATAAATATAGGCTACGTGTGTACATTTTACGTATTAAACAATTTATATTGGGTATTCAATAGTTCATGCATGTAAAGATAGCTTTCAACATTTATACTTCGTCCATAATATATTTATCATGAATGCATTGTAAGCTCTCAAACAGAATTAAATCACTCGAAATGGATGTTTGTAACTTAAACTATTGAATCAAACAAATTTAAAATTGAAAATTAAACTAATATTATCTTAAATAAAACAATAAATCACGCCACGTACAATAAATAATACAACCTGGTAGAGACAATCCCTAATTTATGGTCGTATGAACTGTTGACTTTTAAACCATCTAATTTCCTCGTCTCATTAACTTATTCACTAGGCTTTACATAAAGCCCATTTAACACATACCCAAAACCTATCATCTTCTCCAAACCTATCGTCTTCTCCAACTCTCATCTTCCCCTCTCTGTAAAATTCTATAAATGTTGCTGCCATGTTCCATTCCTCCATAAATTTCTGCATATTACTATCACAAGACTCAAAATAAATGGGTTTGCTGTCGCCACAAACACAAACCAGAAATACTCCATCATCCATTGTCTTCTTCATTTTCTTGTCGTGTTTGAGTTCAAAACCAAAAATCTGACACATGTCCCGTGTCAGTATCCGTGTCATGTCGTGTTGACACGGATACTTCTCCATTTTTGGAGAGTCTGAGCATCATAGCTCTCAATTTACCTTTCGAAGCTTCGACTTTATCTTTGCTCATATGTTTTCAAAGAACCCATCAATTCTTAAACCTTCAACTTCTCTAAATCCTTTGTTTATTCAATTACAACCACAAGAGGATCAAATTTTTCCGACAAGCTAATCAGATTTTTTCCACCATTTTTTCAATCGAAACCTTCTCACCATATTACTTCATTTGATTTACAAGCTCATTTCTTTAACACGATCATGATTATCTTTCATATTCATATTTTCGAATTCGCTTCTAAGAGATTGGAGTTGAATGGATATACCTTCATATCTCCTTAATACTCTTTTCTTAGAATCTCCCAAACTTCATTGGCTTTTTTTGCCATCATGATTCATGAAAACATTGAATCTGTTGCAGCTCTATGTAGGATTGAAAGAGCATTTGCATCTATTTGTCTACATTCTTTGAGTTACTTCTTCTTGGCATTCGATAACTCTTCTTCATTTCAGGTTCCTCGAAGCCATTTTTGACCATACCCCATTGATTCATTGCAAAAAATGAAGTCCTCGTCTTCACACATCAAAATCATAATTTTGCCCATCAAAAATTGGAACAAATTGACAACTTGTGCTTACCATTTCATTTATACAAAAGCCCTCCTTTTTTAAAACCATTGCTTCTAAACCTCGACTGCAAATGCACGAATAAACCCTCAAACGCTCTGATACCAAAAATATGTTGGCTAAGACAGGAGCTTCGAGTATTACAGCGCTAGTTTCACATGTATGAAACTAGGTAAAATTTGTGCTTGCACAGATTTTGCTCATTTGAAACTAATGTAATATAATTACTTCTAAATGAAACAGAGGAACATAGAAGATGATTAAAACTGAGAAAAAATAGAGTAAAAAGAGGGGAAGCATAGATGAACGAGATTGAAAAGATGAACAATACTTTTTCTTTCTTTCCAAGATTTTTTTATACAAAATGTCTTACATTATTTAGGGCAAGTCTAGCTATTTATATAGACCCCAAACATACCACAAAATTACATATTCAAGTCTCAGTTGTTTAACAAATTACATTGACTCTTTAAATAAAAACAAATTAACAACGGGGTTGGTTTGTGTATGTGAAGTTTCAATGTATAGCCTATAGGTTAGGGTTCTTATTCGTGAGACTTGTGGTGTAGATAAGAGTGAAAGAAAAGCAAAGCACGGGTCGTGCACGCACTAAAACATTGTTTTGACATCTTTTTGTTTAATTCTATCATATTGTGCCACGTACGTATCAAATACATTATATATAAAAGTAATAAGTACAGCGTTGAATCGCCTTCAAATTTTATTATAATTTCATTTCTACTTGAATTTATAGGGCATTTACTTAAGCATACACAACGGAATTTAAACAAAGGTCCATACCTAAAAATCGGATCACATTTGTATTGAGATAGAAAATATATATGGGTGTGCGCACGTGCACGTGTGTGTGATATGAGAAGTTCTTTGGACAATTTCTATAAGTTGGGATGATTTTGAATCTGATATGCCACGATCTTAACTCAACACTGTTCTTCAAATATCCAGCCTCTTATAGAAACCTATGCTGAGAGAACAATAAAATTGTAGATTTGAAAATGATGCAATTTTTATGTTGCAGATTTGAAAAATGATGCTTGATGTTGTTTGCAAACCCAAATTGAAAAAACAAATAAATTTGCAAAAGTTGAGAAATTGTGTCGCACTCATTGATTGCCAAACAGAATTGAGACGCGTGGTGAAGAGAGGGGGCCTCTGTTTGTAATGATTGGGGAAGACAAATTATTTTCGAACCGCATCGTAGGGGGCGGCGCCGGGTATGCGATCGATGCAACTTGTTCTAGGGGTGTTGGTAGGGTGTGGGTTTGTACCAGCCGCGAATGATTTTCCTTTTTCTAAAAAATCATTTTTTTTCTTATTTAGAAGGTGTTTTGTAGGTATTAAAATTAGATTTTTAGTAGATTTTGATAGAAATTTTTGAAATTTGTGGTTAAAAAACTGTGAGATCCATGAAATATGTAATTAACATTGATTGTTTGACTTTGACTCAGATTAAAATCTGAGCTAAACAGGGGCTTAATGTAGTTCTTTTTAATGATTTGAGATTGTAGACGTAATTTTCTCTTTATTCATTATAATATTTTTGCGTTCTTTTTATTTAAGTTAAAGGATGAAATGATCATCTTACACAAATTTGACATATTCTTTGATGGAAATCTAGCAATGGAATCAGCTAATTTTTCAAAGTTGAAGGCCAAAAAAGGTTGAAGTCTGCTACTTGGAATATTGGGACGAATGGTAAAATTTATCCTAAATAAGTGAATGCACGTACACTGTACACATTTAGGATATCTTTCTTAGACTGCATAATGGCTAAATAGCCTAAATTTGCATCTAACTTCTTAACTAATCTCTTTAAATATGTACCATTGCTTTTCTAATATAACTTCTGTTGATTTTTTTTTTTTTTTTTTCAGGGCACATCCAAGTTGGCGGAACAATCACATTGGGGGGCTCTGGAACCAAGTGTGGGGAGTTCGATTCCTGGTTGGAGCAGCCAAGTGATGTAATAACCAGAGGAAGGGTTGAAGCAGCTTGGTGATGTAATAACCATGGAGGAGGGTCCCTTTGGGAAAGGAGTAAAAGTTATGTGGGAACCTGGAAACCAACAAGGGCACAACCTGCGATTTACCTCCACTAGTCACTGAGGGGCCGGGGGCTAGAGGTCCAGGATTTAGTCCGGCTAAGCTGGGACACCTGGGTTATCAAAAAAA